TGGTGAAAGGCCCTGGGGAGAAGTGACCAGGAGGACTTGGGATAGACTACTCAGGGAGTCAAAGTGCCTGGGTCATATTTTAGGAAATGTAGAAAGTCCTTTACCAAATTTTTAATCTAATAGAAAGTCGTTGTCTAAATTTTAGGATTTTCATCTAGGGGAAATATGGCCTGGGGTAATCCATGGAGAGTCAATGTTAAATCTTCCGTAAGTCTAGCTTATGGCCTTGGGCAGGTTTGACATGTGCTCGCTCAGTCACAGACACAAAAAGTTGTAAGGGGAGGGAAGACCATGGATGGGGACATCAGAAGCTTTGCTTTCTGAGCACAGTAGAACACGTCTTCAGGGAGTCACCCTTCATATTGTCTGTTTGCCTGTGACAATCTCAGAGGAGATGCTGGGTTGATTTCCTCTTCCCAGCACCATACTCAGCACCAGCAGAAACTGTGTGATCAAGTGAAGGTAAACTGCTGCACAGGCAGAGGTCCTTGGTCCCAAGCTTTACCTGAAGCATTGCCTGGGTCAAACAGCCATCAGCTAATGAGAGCCATCAGGGACCAGGCGCAAAGGCTGCTGCGTTTGGAATGGGAGACGTCCCCTATAGATTTGGGTGTCTGAACACTAGGTCCCCAGTTGGTGGCACTGTTTGGAGAGGTTTAGGTGTGGCTTTGCTGGAGGAAGCATGTCACTGGGGCAGGCTTTGAGAGTCTAGACTCATCACCTGCCCTTAGTTCCCTCTCTCCACTTCCCCCTGCGGTTGAGGATGTGAGCGCTCAGCTTCCTGCTCCAGCTGCTGTGTCTGCCACTTGCCACTGTGCTTCCCTGCCTCGGTGGGTGGACTCTGACCCTCTGGAACTCTAAGTCTGAACAAACTCTTCCTTCTGTAAGTTACATCTGGTCATGGTGTTTCATCGCAGCAACAGAAAAGCGATCGATACAGAAGTGCTGTGTTGAAAATGGAATAACCAAGGCTTTTCAGGTCACACTTTGAAGCCGAGATGTGATATGGACATATGTGGGTGTCTACCCTGATCTGCCAATGATTACACTGATCTTGAGCCATATTTCTCAACACTGCTGAAAATTGCCCCAGTGGTCATGCACTATCATGGCAGACTAGGCCTGGATCCCATCCCTTGTCAAATGGTTCCCAGAGTGTAGTCCTTGACCAATAGCATTCGTGTCTCCTTGAGACTGGTTATGGGTGCCAGTTCTCAAATCTCACCGAAGACAAAACTATCAGAACTCCGGGTGTGGGGGAAGCCTGTGTGTAGGTAGAGTTTTCCTGCCTGGCCCACAGTCAGGACAAACTCTCTCACCTGCCAGTCCCACAGACGCTCAGACCTGACCAAGTAAACACAGAGACTTATATTGGTTACAAACTGTATGGCCGTGGCAGGCTTCTTGCTAACTGTTCTTACAGCTTAAATTAATCTATTTCTATTAATCTATACCTTGCCACATGGCTCGTGGTTTACCGGCATCTTCACATGCTGTTTGTCATCATGGTGGCTGGCAGTGTCTCTCTGACTCAGCCTTCCACTTCCCAGCTTTATTCTCCTCCTTGTCCCGCCTACACTTCCTGCCTAGCCAATGGCCAATCAGTGTTTTATTTATTGACTAATTAGCAACACATTTGCTATACAGAACATCCCACAGCACCTGTGGGTTCTACCAGCCCCTTCAGATGACTCTAATTCAAGTTGCAGACACCCCATCCTACACATAGCTTTCATGGATGTCTGGCCTTGAAGGATTGCCTTCTTAAAGGCATCACACAGCTCAGGTCTTACTGACACTTGATGCATGCTTCTTAGGAGCCTCATCTACTCTCTCCTGCTGCAGAACAAGTCCCCCCATCTGTCCCGGCTCCCTAAGTTCCGTGTTCTCCCAGCTGTCTCCCACCACAGGCCTTCGGCAAGCCCTTCTGTTGGGGAAGATCTTTCCTTACATTTGTTACTTCCTCATACGTATGCTCACTTCCTCAGAGGCCTTCTCTGAGCTTTCAACATAAAATACTGCCACAGTGCCCTGTAACTTTCTCAGTGACATGTACTGAAATGTTACAGGTGTGTTCACTTATACCTACCCTCTTTAGACCAAATCGTTCTGAAGGCAGTGTGCTTGCTATGTCTACAGAACTGCTCAGGGTGAAGTAACCACTCAGGGAGTATTGGACCAGTGTGCTTTATTCCCTCTCATATCTGTAGAATGGTGTTTCCTGGAAGATTAAATACATTACAAAATACATAAGGAGTTGGAATTTGTTGGTGGTCTGGCTTCAGCAGTAGCTCCTGTTTTCATGAGTTTAGGCTAATGGGTAAATTGTCATATTAAACATGTAAATGGTGCTAGTGTTTGGATCTAGAATGTCTCCCAAAGGCTCCAGTGGGGAAGGCTAAGACCTCAGTGGCAGTATCTGGAAGTGCCATGGACTTGTAGGTAGTGGAGCCTGGAGGGAGGTCTTTAGGTCATTGGAGGCTTGGCTTAAAAGAGGATTGTGAGATGCAGGATGCCCAGGCTTCTCTTTGGCTTCTTTGTTTGTGGTGTAAGTCACGTGGCTACGGCAGCTCTGTCTTCATGATACAGGTTCCATAAAATGGGGCCATGTGATTTTGTACTGGAACCTTCAGGATTATAGGACAATACAAACTTTTTCTCTTTCTAGGTTAGTCACCTCAAGTATTCCATTTTAGTAACATGAAGATGACATTACGAATGATGTCTCACCCTGGCTCTTCCATCCATTTCTTGTGAGCACAGTGAGCACTCCCTGTTTAGTAGATCAAGAACTGACCATCAGATGATTCTATTCACAACTCAGAAGCAGCGGAGGTAGGATGCTCACAGAATTCCTTTGATGTATTCAAAATAATGAAAAAAAAAGAGGCATGCTCATTTTTTTTTTTTTTTTTTTTTTTTGGTTTTTCGAGACAGGGTTTCTCTGTGTAGCTTTGCGCCTTTCCTGGGACTCACTTGGTAGCCCAGGCTGGCCTCGAACTCACAGAGATCCGCCTGGCTCTGCCTCCCGAGTGCTGGGATTAAAGGCGTGCGCCACCACCGCCCGGCCTCATTTCTTATTTTTTTTCCTCCACTAGGGCATTTTGAGTAGGCCAGGATAAAAAAAAAAAAGCAAAACTAACATGAGAATGAAGTTCTGAGTTCAGGCTGCAAGTTGGATCTCTGTATATATTCTGAAAGGACCAGAAGGAGGCTTTTCTGGAGTCCAATCTTTTCACCATGTATTTTGGATTTTTCTTGTGGATTAAAACATGAGCAAAGCAATTCTCTTTCTCTGCCCTCCCATTACACTTCTGATGAGGTTGGTGTGTACAGAGTAAGGTGTGCACATTGTTAATAGGACAATCCAACCTGTTTCTCTCATTTCAGTGACACACAATCTGGTCTTCCTCTTATTTCAAACACTCTTAGGCATGCCTTTGTCATACAAGTCGCTTAAAGGGGCAGGGATGCTGAAGGAAGGACTGTGGGGCTGCTGTGGAAAGGAGGCTAGAATCAGCCAGGGCCTTGGGCACTTTCGTGGTCCCTTCAGATTATTTGGGGAGATTAGCTTTTAGCTTGTTGGATTAAATCTCCCCAATATGGTTTAGAATCTTCCCTTTTTGACTTTCTTCCTTGTTTTTAGAGATTCATCTTTATTATGTGTGTGAGTGTTTGCATGTATTTGTGTACACCCGGTTTGTACAGTGCTCTTGAAGGTCAGAAGGCAGCGTTGGGAATCCTGGAACTGGAGTTACAGATGGTTGTGAGCCACCGTATCGGTGCTGGGACCTGAACTTGGGTCTGCTCCTGAAACACCAAATGCTCTTAACTGTTGAGCTAGCTTTCCTGCCCCGACCCCGCTACCCCTACCCTGCACACCAACCAAAGTACCCTGCACACCAACCAAAGTACCCTGCACACATAGGTCGCCAGTGAGCTGACAGGGATTGGTGCTGAGGCTTAAAGCCTGCAAGTGTGGGAGAGCAGAGCCATGGAGGCACATGTACACAAATACACAGGGGCGCCAATGTTCCAGGGGACTGGGCAGGCACTCAGTTGACAGACCAGTCAAGGCAAGGCATGGATAGATCCAGAGAGGGAAGGTTTGGAATAAATTAGGGAAAGCAAAGAAAGAAAGGGAGGGAAGAGAGAGAAGTGTAGTGAAAGGAAGGATAGCCTGGGGTTATTTTTTCCTGGGCAGCAAAATGGCTTTATAGGGCAAAAATGATTTCAAGTTGGAGAGTTTGCCCCATCCCCTATATAAGTTGGGTATCCTTGCTCTGGCTGCTTGGAGTGAGACCAGGAGAATGATAATGTGTGCGCTTATCAGCACTCCTGAACTCAACACCCCCCTCTAGTCCTGTGTGTTAGGGGACATGGCCAGCCCTCCCAGAGCCCACAAGATAGTGCTGTGACAAACTGACCAGAAAAAAACAAATGGTAAGCCAGCGGACTCTCTGGAAACCGCACCCAGCATGGAAGTTCTTACTGAATGCTAATCTGGAATCTAAGGGCCGCTGTGAAGACATTTTATCCCTGGAGTTAGTTCAAGATTACTGTATTCCTATAGGTGGGTGTCACCCATTCAGGAACAAAAGAGACTTCCTGGTGTAGATGAAACTGTGCCTCAAGCTTCCAGTGTGCTGTAGCTGCTCTGGGATTCCAGAGGGATTTGCAAGATTCAGGAATTGTGTGAACTAAGCCCCTAAAAGGAATCCCCTGGGCAAGCACTTTTGCACACAGGAATATTCTGTGTACAGAACTCAGCTGATGCATTCCCTTAGTCCTGTAAGGTGTGAGGAGGGAGTGTGTTGGGAGAAACCGTGAGAGAAGGCCATGGGGCCCAGGAAGGCCTGCAGTGAAGTGAGGAGACAGCATGAGCTATGATGACATAGCCACTCTGGGAGGGTCCAAGTCTGCTGGTGAGATCAGACTCATTCTCTTTTTAATGACTTCTGTTACTTTTGAGACCAGAAGTCAAGAAAAAGGTGTTTAAATTGAAGCAAGATGGACGCTTTATTACAGTCGAAGAAACAGGTGCTGGGATTATTCTTGAATAAAAAAAAATAAAACAAAAAATCATTGATGTTGGAGAGAGTCTTGTAAACGATTTATGAGGTTCATGTTACAGCCACGGCTGTGTCTGTGACTTGCTACGTGTCCCAGGGAAAACACTGGCTTTGCGCAGCAGCACAGTGACAGAAGGGGCAGAAGGTGGTGGCCAGCTGGGAGTTCCTGACGGCAAAGTGGAGTGCCTTTCAGGAGGGCGGTTTTAAAGAACTGAAATTCTTCCACATAGAGTAAAGGCAGCATCCAGGCTCCTTCCCTTCCTTGGCCAGTTCTGTTCCAAATCAATCCTTGTCTTCAAGAGTTCAGCAGCTCAGGCGATGCACTCCAGGAGTCTGGGCAGAACTGCTGCCTACCAGTCTAGGGTTTCCATGGGTGTTGGGGAGGGGGCGGTGAACAAGTTCAGCCTGAGGGCGGATGTCTTGCCGCCCCGCAGCATCCGCCCACACTCAACAACATTCAGCATCCTTGGTCCCAGCCTTGGGGTGGGGGTGGGGTGGCGGGTTGTCCCAGAGAAAGCAGTCCGTTTTTCTCCATTCCCCCTTGACTCTGGCATCCAGTTCCTTTCTGATTCAGGAACCTCAGGCCCAAATAAAAGAAAGTAGCCCTGAGACCTCAATGCTTATTCCTTAACCCTTCCCCTGTGTAGCCTGGAAGACCCCGCGTCCTCATGCAGCCCTCACTTGGAGGCTCCCAGGGCACCAGCGAGATGGTGTCTCTGTGCCACTCTGGTTGGAGGGGCGCTAGTGAGGAAGATACTCACCTGTAGGGATCTGGGGTCTCTTGCGACACCCGGACTCGGGAAGGCATGGCTTGGAGCCCTGTGGAAGACGCATGCTTGACAGCTAGAGCAGGAGGTGGCGGTGGGACGCTGGGTGATGGGTGCAGGTGAGGCTCATGCTGCTCCCGGGCGGGAGGCGGGCCGAGGGCGCCACGGGGAGGACGCATTGGCAGCTGGGGCGACGCATAGGGCTGGGGGGGGGGGGTGCGGGGAGGCGAGCCCGGGCGGGGACACCGCAGGGGCAGGAGGAGGGAATTCGGAAAGGAGGGAAGAGCGGCGAGGCGAGGGGAGAGTGGAGCTGCGGGGCCGGGCGGGCCACCACGGGCCACACCCCCCCCCTTGCGGGCGCCCGGCGGGGCTCGGGCCAGGCGGGGCGCCGCACAAAGACATGCGGAGAGGGGCTGCGCGGGGCCGCGGCACAAAGACACCCGGGCGCTCGGCCGCGCGGGCTGCAGTAATCACCCCCACTCCGAGCCCCGGGGCAGCGCGGAGCCACCGGCCGAGCGCGCGGAGCCACGGGCCGAGCGCACTCAGGGCCCGCGCGGGACCCCAGGCGGCAGCGCAGTCGGGGTGACCCAGCGCGCGCGGGGGCAGCCGCGTCCGAGCCCAACTTGGCCTCGGCCTCGCCCTCTGCCCAGCCTGCCGCCGCTGGTGTCCCCTCCTTCCCGCGATTTCGTTTCTTCTCACGCTCCCCCTACACCCCTCCCGCCTCCAGCACCGCTCTCCCCACCTTGTAAAACAAAGCCGGGGAAAATGCCTGCCCGTGCAGCTCGGAGTGCGCAGCCCATCTTGGAATAAGGAGTGAGTACAATGGCGTGTTGGTAAAAAAAAAAAAAAAAAAGAAAAGAAAGAAAGAAAAAAAGAAAGAAAGAAAGAAAAGAAAAAGGAGAGAGAAAGAAAGAAAAGAAAAAATAAAAGCATCAAGTCTGTGTTAAAAAAAAAAAAAACATTTTGAATGCTGCATGCCTCATGCTTGCCAGCGCCTCGCGGGAGAGACCCGGCTATACCGCAGGAGGTGAGACCCCCGGGCACCCACCCCGGCCGCGCGCTCTCTGGGGAGGGCGGCGCAGGTCCCATGGCTCATTTTCCTTTCCATTCCGTGGGTTGGATGTGATCCGGGCTTGGCTACCCAACCCCAGCCCGGATCCTCTCTTGGCGGTGTCTTCTGCTCTTCCGCTGGTGCCTGGGGTTTTTGCGTTTGCCTCCCTCGGGGGTGGGTTTGGCGCATCTTAAGACAGTTTCTAGAGAGGAGGGTCAGCCCTGGAGAGTAGCCCGCAGGCAGGTTGCACGGTGGCCTTCTTCACACTTGTTGCCCATAGCATGGAGGACACGCAATGGGGCTGGGAAAATAAAATAAAAAGCTCGCTTCTGCTGCTGTTTCGGGGGGCACCTGAGGCTCGCGCGAGAGACCAGGAGTGCATTGAGGAGGACGTTGGGGGAGGGGAGAGGTAGTGATGGTGTGTGAACAGCCAGCTTCGTGGCCTCTCCGCTATCACCAGTGGAGGCTGGGAATCCACAGCGCCCTGATTAGATTGGGAGGAAAGGCTGCCTTTTGCTTTTTGTTTGTTTAAAATATTTATTTTGTATTCCACCAGCTTCTGTCCATTCTAGTCTGCCAATTGTGCATTATATATTTCAGCTAATTAAATATAAGGCCACAGCTTAAAGGAATTAAACTCCTTCAGGAAATTTATCAGCCTAACACACCACACACACACACACACACACACACACACACACACACACACACACACACACACACACACGAGAGAGAGAGAGAGAGAGAGAGAGAGAGAGAGAGAGAGAGAGAGAGAGAGAGAGAGAGAGAGAGCGAGCGCAGATATGGTAATATTAGATATTTTATTCTCTCTCTCTCTCTCTCTCTCTCTCTCTCTCTCTCTCTCTCTCTCTCTCTCTCTCTCAGTGCATCATGACAATATTTTGGTGGGATTCCACGCTGGGGCTGGGTAAATGATAGTGGTTTATAATTCTCTCGACAAGAAAGCAGTCCTAGGGTGAAAGTCAGTACCCTGGGGTGGGGATGGGGGACCTGACTTTATGATTAGATGCAGGACTCCTCTGTTGTGTTCTGTTTTTTAAGTCAGAAGATGGCTCAATTTTAGATTATTTTCTTTTTCAGTCAGATTCTGAGCAGCAGGGAGGGGGTGGGGAGTGTCGTAGCGGCTACAGGTGATAGTGATCACTAACTGTAGTAAGCACATGTCTATTAGATTGTAAAAATCCAAACAGTTAACACCCGCTGAAAGTGCTTATTTTGAGTGGCATCACCCTTGCCAGTATGGTGACGGTGCCTTCTAGTTGGTGACTTGATTCAAAACAGGTGGATGGGTGGAGAAGGAGGCATCCCCACTTGTAGTGGGGGCTGAGCCTTACTTAGGAAGCTGCTGAAGCTGACCCTGGGGAGTCTCCATGGAAAGCTGCTGCTGCTGGGGGTGGGGGTGGGGGTGGGGGAGGGGCTGTATCCTCAGGTCTGCTCTGATGATTTCATCTCTTCAAAGTCAGAACTTCCTGTGAGCTTGGCTGCTCCGGGAGATCCTGTCATCCACCTTCATTTTACAACCGCCTTCGTCTGGTGCATCACATAGCTTTGTTTCGAGAGTGCCTTTTTTGATGGGCAACTGGAGATGTACTTTATGAACTCACTGTGGTAGCCTACATTTACGCCCAGCATTAGGCAAGAGGGCAGGATAGGTAGCTGTGTGTAAATGGATGCTCTTTACAAGTGTCTTCTTGAGTAATTTCTGAGGCTGTAGGGTGCATTTCTATGGGGATTTGCTACGTGAATATTGAAAAGTAAAATTTAGGTTATGTTACCATTTTTATGAAACCTATATTATACACATGGCAGTAATCTGGCTTGTTTTTGTAAGTGGTGAGCTTTAAACTAATGATTTGTGTTGGTGTTTAAGTCTCCATCTTCTTGACCATCCTGTTAACCCATATTAGTTCGCTCTTGCCTCTCCAATCAAATGCTCTGTGGTGAATGGCTTATTTTCCCCTCCGCAAGTGGCCATCGAATAGCTTTTGTATTTTCTAAAATGAAACCCATTAATGATGATTTTGAAGAGTTTGGATAAATAATAGATGGACTTGGAGTCACCCCACAGAATCAGGGAGCTCTAATGGAGCAATTAGCCTTGTGCAGAGCATGGAGGGTCTAAGGTGTAAGCCAATGTGCTGGGTTTCTTTCTTGCTTTTGCTGGAGAAATAGAGGGACTTGGTCCTGTCTTGGCTGGTGTGGTTCAAGAGTTAGCAATAACTTTTGTGTTTTAAGCATGTGAGCGATGGCAGAACCATGTTTCATAGTGTGCTTCCTTTGGAAGACGGGCTCTAGATAGGACTGCACTAAGTGGTGTGTTCCCACCAGAAAGTAGGAAGCATATCTTGAACTGCACTGATTGCCATCCCTTCGCAGTAAGAATTTGAAAACCCAGACAGCAAGCCTTCTTTACTCTGATTGCTTACAGTGTAAAGGTCTGATATACAGGAGTCAGCCATGAGCCTTCCTCGTGAGCAGATATCTTGTTTAGTACCATCAGCCCTTGGGAGCTCACGGCATCTTCATTGACACATACATAATCACGAGCAGAAACAAATCTAGAAATGAATGAGGAACTCCTCAGGCATTCTTTTGTTTAGTGTTTGACTTCTTGGTCTGACCCCTGTTTTTTTCCATCCACCTGGCACTCCATTGGCAGCAAAGAGCAGAAGCCCAGCCCCCTCCCTTGAGCCTATATATGGTTCTGGAAATGATTAGAGAAGCTGCGGGGTGAGGTTCCTCAGCTCCCACTAGGAGAGTGCCTGAGTTCAGCCAGCCCTGGCTGACCCCCTAAAGAAGCAGCTAGCCCCTTGCTTCCAGACTCCTCTAGCCTAACCCAAATTCTCTGTTGTTGTCAGTGGCGGCCCCTGACTTGCTGGATCCCAAGTCTGCCGCTCAGAACTCCAAACCGAGGCTCTCCTTCTCCGCAAAACCCACCGTGCTTGCTTCCCGGGTGGAGACTGACACGGCCATTAATGTTATGAAATGGAAGACGGTCTCCACGATTTTCCTGGTGGTCGTCCTCTACCTGATCATTGGAGCCACTGTGTTCAAGGCATTGGAGCAGCCTCAGGAGATTTCCCAGAGGACCACCATCGTTATCCAGAAACAGACCTTCATAGCCCAGCATGCCTGCGTCAACTCCACCGAGCTGGACGATCTCATTCAGGTAACAACCCCCAGGCGAGCTGGGCTCCATTTCTCCCTAAGGGTACCAGGGTGGACCTCACGGTCCCTGAGAGCATGGACCTCCTTCCCGGTGTCTTCCTTTCCTTCACTCTTTCCCTCCTACCATCATATCGCTTACTTCTCCTGCTCACCCTCTTCTTTCCTCCTCTTTTATACTTCTTCCTCCTCTGTTCTTATTGTCCCTGTCTTAGAACTGAGAGGGCTTTACTCGGCTGCAGGCCCTCATGACTGAGGAGGCCGTTGCCCACAGAGAAGTCTTTTAACTGGGCTATGGCCATCGCCACTTAGGGAGTCTGGCTTGTACACTCTTGGGATGTACCTTCCACCTTGTGAACAAGTTGTCACCCAGTTCTTTAATCTCCTTGGAGTATAGCTTCATTAAATGGTCGTTTCTTCTTTGAATTCCAACGAAGATCAGCTTACTACTACACAGAAAAATGAAGTTTTTGCGAAAGAAGCACACCAGTTTTAATTTAAAACAGCAGAGCACCATCCTCATGGTGAGCCATGCTTTAAGTATTAACCCCCAAATGATTTCTGAGTTTGGCCTCTTAGACATGACCATATTTTGGTTGTGGGTTTCTTTGGTGTAAAACGTCATAGGTGACAAGAAAAACCTTCAAATTTCCCTACAAGGGGATTTGCTGGCTGTTGAAAACATTCTCATCGTGTACACATCTATTTTCCTAGACAGCTTGCTTTTTCTTGCTTGGTTTAATTCAAATTGGACGGAAAGTGATCTGTGAGTCATCATTTGAGTGTGCTTTTCCTCATTTTGTGTCTGGGTTTTTATATCATTTGAATGAGTTGGGATAACAGATTTAGAGATTTATAATTGGATTAATC